TAGCAACGTAAATGCCTCAAACGCACTAGCTAAAAAACATAGTCTTTTTCGAGAACAAACGAGGGTACGTGCGAGCTGAAGCCGTCGTGTCATTGGGCTCGAGCGATGTCGGGAAGTCAAAGAATTTTTTACACCACATTTAGTAGAAAAAGTGGAAGCTGTCTTTTTTGGCCTCCTGGGTCTCCATGACTGGTTTCTTGGCTTCACAAATACTTCTTTTTCTATGTCTTATCTTAGAGGATCTCTAGAAGATATAAGGAGTGTCACTATATCGTTTCCTTAGTTTTGTCGTTCTCAGAACTTGCTCCATGAACTCCGTCCCTCTCACACACTCGAAAATAAATTATCTGATATATAAATAGAAACTAGAAATCAGTATATATTTTTTCTTTCCTCTTTTGGCTATTTTCCTTTCACACAAGAAGACTTATTTTTACCTGCGCCATAGTGAAGAAGGCAACACAATACGTATCTTCCTTAGCATTAATGTTCTTGTACATTTTGTTGTACTCACTACAGGTTCCATATTACTGGCGATAAACTGAGGACCATATTGTTCAAGTATCGCTTTGAATGTTTAGTAATACATGAAGTGAGGACAGCTATGATATGGAGTGCGGCCGAGGCCAGCAAAGGAGATCTCGAACTATATGGCATCAAATTTTAGGAGCCGTGTGATTTCCCCAACTGCGCAGTTAGTTATACAATTGTTATATAATTACATACTTTTTCCAATGTCATAACAGTCATATGCCTGACTATTAACACTGCAGTACAATAAAGTTCCCTATCTAGTTTGCTGAGTTGATTAACTATGCGATTTTGTACCTAATGGAATCACTACGAGAGCCGCTCAGAATGTAAGCAATCAAAATATGGGGCGACACCTGAGGGTTGGAAAGTGTGGAACCAACGACGAGGTCGGAAATCCAAGGAATATACATGCTGAAAAAAGGGATATCGGACGATCCGATAGGTTTGATCGAGACTTTCTAGAATATTGCCCAGATGCACTTTTGAAGTTTTAACAGTATTTCTTACCAGTCTTGTCAAACACAGCTACATAACTAAAAACATTATGTTCCATCACCTGTTATCAAGACACTGTAACCTCACTCCAGAAATATGTGGAATATGGAATGACTTCTTAATAGCCTCTGCTTGCATACTAACTATAATATTAACAGTGTAACCTTACAGTACAACGATTTGCAACACTCTCTGACCTCGCTTGCGACCGTCGAGTGAAATATTGAGGTGTCATACTCCCACTGGCTGCACGAAGTCGTTTCCAAACCCGCTGCTTCCTCAGGGGTCAAAGCGAGGTCAGACGACCAAGGAAGGTCAGCAACGGCATCGTAGTCTCTCACATACATCCTGCACTGTGATCGCCTCATATGATTCCTGTTTTCTTCCCTGAAACACTATAGTTTCTGACTATGCGAACAGATTGATGTCAGTTCGCATGTACTTAGATTTGGTTCCAGTGATAGCTTAATGAAGTTGAAATAGAGTATTATTGTTTCTAGTACTAAGTATGTTTTCTAGTGAAAATGACATACAAAATGCTTTATAAATAAATACATGTCTATTATCAGTGACAGCAATTAATATAATTTGAATATTATTAATAAAAGAAGAATTTTCGTCCTACCATGTATAGAAATATTGAGGTGTCATTACTCCCACTGGCATTTTTGACAGACATCCGTTTCCAAACCCGCTGCTTCCTCAGGGTCAAAGCGAGGTCAGACGACCAAGGAAGGTCAGCAACGGCATCGTAGTCTCTCACATACATCCTGCACTGTGATCGCCTCATATGATTCCTGTTTTCTTCCCTGAAACACTAGTTTCTGACTATGCGAACAGATTGATGTCAGTTCGCATGTACTTAGATTTGGTTCCAGTGATAGCTTAATGAAGTTGAGATAGAGTATTATTGTTTCTAGTACTAAGTATGTTTTCTAGTGAAAATGACATACAAAATGCTTTATAAATAAATACATGTCTATTATCAGTGACAGCAATTAATATAATTTGAATATCATTAATAAAAGAAGAATTTTCGTCCTACCATGTATAGAAATATTGAGGTGTCATTACTCCCACTGGCATTTTTGACAGTGTTTTCTTCCCTGAAACACTAGTTCTGCTATGGATCAGATGATGTCAGTTCGCATGTACTTAGATTTGGTTCCAGTGATAGCTTAATGAAGTTGAGATAGAGTATTATTGTTTCTAGTACTAAGTATGTTTCTAGTGGAAATGGACATACAAAATGCTTTATAAATAAATACATGTCTATTATCAGTGACAGCAATTAATATAATTTGAATATCATTAATAAAAGAAGAATTTTCGTCCTACCATGGTATAGAATAATTGAGTCGTTGCTCTAGAGTCCAGGAGCTGTTGCTGAGTTGAGGGACGTTGCACCAGTGGTCCACCGCGCCGTTGTAGAAGGCACCGCCCAGGGAAAATGGAGGGAGGAGGAATGCCC